TTTCACACATGCACACGTAGATACACACAAGGGCCGGAGAGGTCCTTTTTGTTCTTGCCCTTTTATAGAATGACTTCTCAAGTATGCTGCTGGAACACGAACTGGTGTAGATTTAATTAAACCAGAGGGTCTCCACTTTACCTCTCCCTCCTCATTTGACGACGTAATTGATAAAGAATTGAAGCACAGAGCTAATTTGTAGAGAAGCCGGATCCACGATCCTGGGCTGCCAAGACCTCCTCTTGGTCCTGTGAAACTCTTGTGTCTAGATCTGTTGTTCCATCCTTGAGTCAGTGACTGTCTGTGCTCAAAGTCCAGCTTTAACTCCATGTTATTTAGAAACCCCATGTAGTTGATGTAAAACTGTGTCTTACTTAAGTGAAATCTTCATTTGACTTAAATAAGACACAAACCTTCACCTGTGTTTTCTTTTTTGTCATATCGTCCACAAATAAGTAACTTTTTATTGTATTGAATAAACAATGAAAACAGGGGTTTTCATTGTTTTCATTGGTTATTTAACCCTTTGAAATATTCGGTGCGTGCTGACTGATCCAGGTAGATCACATGAGCTGGTTGGTTCTTTGCTGATCGCTCCTAGTATAAAGGTCCAGGTTCTACCAGCTGCTGGTCCACACCTGACCGAACCATAGGCGACTGAACTGTCAGTAACCTTGACTGTGGATTGTTTTCTTTGTTAAATTGAGTTTGAAAATGTTTGTTTTGTTTTTTGGTGGTTTCTTAGGACTGTGGTGATGGTAGTCTTTCTCTCTTTCTTGTTGCGTACATTTGTCCTCTTCACCTGAATGTAGCCAGAGAAGAATCATCTTAGACCGTTAGCTGACGTGAAAGTTGTTGCAAATGACAAGCAGTCAATGAAGTCAATGAAAGAACTAGCTGAAGGTTGCCGAACGTTAGCAAAGAAAACATTTTTTTGCTAACGGCTACAAGTTTGACAAAAAATATTTTTAGCTACTTCTTGCAGTTTGGCACCGTTCGGAGGTGGAGTGCGGACCTTGTGTGGCTGGGTTTGGTGGCACACATCAAATCTAGCTAGCTCGCTGAGGAACACAATACATCAAGCGACCTAAAATCTATAAAACTGTTCTTTCACAGTCTTTCTCCAGATTTGGACGACAGAAGGTGACCTAACCGCCACTGCTCTTTAACCTAAACTATTGCAACAGTGCACGTTTGTACGCGTGCATGTGCGTGGACAGTGACAGCTGGTTAGCACTGGACTGGTAATAAAGCAGATAAAGCAGTCCGCCCCCTTGTTAGGCTTGATGAGCGTGACTATGTGATGGGATAAGGAGGCCGGTAGTGAAAGTAAAGGAATGTAACTCAGCCTCTCAATCCCTCCATATGACGCTAATTGCAACAGAGTGGGGATGGCCTGGGCTGCTTGTGTACGCCATTGTTATTCCTCTGCCCATTGTCGACCAACCCTCTGACAATCGCCATCTGAATAAGAGCCTGTTAAGCCTAACAGATCCCCATCATTAGACCCCTTTACAAGCATTGTGATGCAGCACCGCAGATACTGTAGGACCATCGGTGACTTACAGCAGCACTGAGACCATGTGTGCAATAAATTGTACTCCTTTTGTTCATGGCATACAAATGCACAAAGCGCACATGTTCTACCTCTGAAAACATCTCAGAAAAACCCTGCAGGGAGTGGGTATGTTTAACAAATGTACAGAAGTTGAGATTTTGGTCTTTAGGACAAGGCATAGGTTAAATCTAAACAAATTGACTTGATTATTTTTGGGGCTTCAACTGTCATCCAAGAGTTCTTTTACTCTCTGAGTGTCTGTTCAGTCATTACATTTATGCAATATGTCAGTATCTTATCTAGAACACATCTGTCCTGGATTTGAACCCCTGACCTCCTTGTGAGAAAATGCCCTTTTATGTTATTTTAAATTCATATACTGAATATATTGATTGAATATATTAACTAAAAAACGTATTGAAGACATCTTTATAATTTGTCCATTGTCAATATTAGTACTGTATTTTTTACATTGAACCTGTTTTTGTCGTCAAGAAACTGAACAGATTTTCCTGTAGTTTGTTAGACTGTGAACCTACTGGAGACTGTTAAGAAGTTATTTATATCTATAAATATTTAAGAACTTTTCTAAAGGCTATCAAATACTTCTTATTTGAAACTGAATGGACCAATATTTTTGTTTCTTGCACTTTCTCGCACTGTAAACATGTTATTTTTTCCTGTATAAAAGTGACAAAATAGGTACATATTGAAATTGGAAGTCACATTTTTGAAATAATTCTACTAAACATGACATAAAATTAATACTAACGCTTGTGCTTTTGTTTGTGATGGAGAGCTATTGTGTGCCGTAGGCTACATCTTGTGGTTCTTTTACAACGCCCTCCATTTCTTCAGTGCTCTGCCATATTTTTTTCCCCAATGAACAAATGATGGAAACACTTGAATAAATGTGTCCTTTTTTGTCTCCACATTTTTAGTCTGGAGACAAACTGCCAGCTGGCCTGTTTTGGGCACGGTTGAGCTCAGGCTTGTCTCCGTCTCTCTAAAACAAGCATCTGGACGCCCGGAAGGTGAATAAAAGTGTGAATATATTCATCCCCATGCTGCTTTGTTAAATCTCTGGGCGTAAAGCCGTAGTACCCCCCGTGCCCTCCTGGGTGACCCCTGAGGATCAGAGACCAGGTTGTCGAAACATTTGTAACATTTGGCCAAAGCAAATCTCAGGCTGCCTGTTGAATGGAAGCCCAGACCAAAGAGGAGGAGGAGGAAAAAAAATCCCCCTGGAACCCTTAAAACACTCCCGACGCCCGACCAGGACTCCCCCCTTCTCTTCCCTCTCCTCCTCCTTCTGGTTTCTTATCCCTCTCGCACACACAGACACTCACACACCGAGCATGGAGGCTCAACCCCTTACAACCTCCAGCAAATCCCCTTTATCTTTTCCCAGCCAGATGGGGCCGCTGGAATAATGGTCTAAAGCCCAATGAGTTCCATTCAATTTGTCATGCCGTCTAAAGGAGCTTGTAAGCTTCCCATTTGCAGTTATGTTATAGTAACCATGGGAGGCTCGGCAGTGTTAGGACTTAATTACCTCCTAATGGCTGTTGTAGAGATAAAGCCCCTCGGACAGCAGAACCCAACACTGTCCAGATCCGGAGACACGGACGCCTGGAGACCCAGTGTCTCTCTCTGATCTTCATCACGATGATCATGACTTGACTACATTCTGGTGACCCCGTCACCCCACAGGCACCTGTACCGATCCACGTAGGATCACGCTGGCACACAGACTAACTCACCCAACAATCTCACTGAACCTGTGGCACACAAAGGGTTTTTCTTGAATTCATTTCCACGTGTGGAACAGAACGTTGGTTTTCCTCACTTTGCCGCAGACTTCTGATTTAAATGTTTGAAACTAAGTTTGACAGGAAATGGTTTATCGATGATAATACTGCATTGTCGCATCATTGATGGTTGGTGTTCTGTGTTCTGTTGGGTTTTCTAATGTAGCGTTTTTTTAACACTTTACACCGTTTGTTTGAATTTTGTGCTCTTCAGAAATACTGAAAGTTAAACCAGTGTTTCCCAAGCTTTTTTTCTGGGGACTCATATTTTAAAAGTCACAAACCTTCGCGACCCAAGTCAATTAATTATTTGTAAACTCCTGGGAAACATGATGCATGACGACCCCCCCCCCCCTTGCGAATTTAAGACTCTACTTGAACAGTCTTAAGATTAAAGATTAAAACTGAAAACATTGGGAACTAGCCACTGATTGTACACCGATTACCGAGAATTTCAAGTCAAGACTTGAGATTGAGTTGTTGTTGTTGTTGTTGATGTTTCGTGACAATTTTTTTACTTGAGGTACTTACCTTCATAAAAAAAAATTCTTTTTCATGATGGAGTTTTTCTTGGAGGACTCACCTGAATAAAACCCAACCGCCCGCTCTTTTTTTTCCAGAAATTCACTTCATTTTTATTCTACTTCATTGCCTCACATTTAGGGTTAAAAGAGAAAGGGCTACATGGGAATTGAACAAAGTTACGTCCCTTACTACAGATTTCCACAAAAGGGAGAATTTTGCTTCATTTCGTTCCAAGATTTGTCAGAGAAAGGGACGGAGGGAGCGAGCCAGGACTTCATTCATGTCTTTCACTGCATTTGGCCGAGGCTGGTCATCTCCCCAGACACACGGAGGGAGAACTTTTCTCCTGTTTTTCCACCCTTCTCTTGTTTTGTTCCTTTTCTTTTTTTTATTTTGGAGCCAGATTAGCAGGATTAAGTATGGCCCACATATGCTGCTCCTCACCATTGGTATTCACCACGACACTTGGCCTAACGCCACCCAGACGGGTGGACACAGAGGAACAGAGAGGGTGCTGGAGAGGTGAGAGTCAAGGTTGTAGTTGGAAATTTAAAAATAAAAAAAAAATAATAATAAAAAGAAATATGAAATGCAAACTGGAAAAAATATTTTTTTTGCAAATGATGGTTTTGATGGTTTTACACCTTAAATATTCCTGCTTTACAACATTACTATAGTTTTATATATGTATATATATCCCATAATCTAAATTACAGCTCTCTGTTCTTTTGAATTAGAATTTGAGGTGTGTCACGTTGTTACTTCAAGTTAGCTTCAGCGATTTGACATTAATCCATTCGTAACTCTAAGGTGTTTTCAGCTGCTTGAAACAGAATGACAATAATAAAAAGTTTTACTTTAGAACCTCTCCAGTTAACAATGAGAAAGAACTTCAAACTATACAAAGTGAAAACAAAATGATTAACTGGATAATATTTTTTTTCAGTCCCTCACTTTAAAGTTTATGTTGACAAAAAACGTAATTAATTGATTTTTAAGTTGATTTATTATCGTTCAGTGTGGGCATCGTGAGCACAGATTACGTCATTTGAACCTGTCGCAGAATTTCGTTGTTGGATGTTTACGGAAGCATCTTGGGTCACGTGGGTATGGCATATGCATATTGATTTATTTAATTATTTATCTTTGTTGTATTTAGCGGCGGTGACGCACGAACATACTCGTGCACATACATGTATACATACATACAAACATAAATACACACACACACACACATCAACAACAGCTCGGTTCCTTAATTAGCTTCGATGAAGTCTCGTCCGATGAAGTTCCAACTGCAAACCATCTGATGTCACTGTTGGGTCTGAATCAGCTGCAGCTGGAGAGGACGACGGAGAAATAAGAAAAAGTAAAAATAAAAAAATAAAACAAAACAACTCTAGTTTAACATGTAATGTAAAAAATGCAATACAAAAATGAAAACATGATTTAATACTCTCTCTTTAAATGATTAGATTTTGCTTTCTAATGCGTGACTTTTGGGGTGAAATTTGACAAGTTTTCGGGTGTATTTTATTATAATAATAAAATAATAGTAAATCTATGTCATCTGTATTTTTATTCCATTATCGAACAGTCACCTATATCGTTATGTAGTAGTTTATGAATAAATATTAAATAAATAAATACTAGACGTGTCCAAAATGATCATTTCAATACTTGGTTCAAAATAAAATAAAATAATGCATTACACTGCATATTACACTGCAAAATAATAATAAGAAAAAAATTCTAATTTGTAATTATCATTTCTTATTATATCTCTCTCTTTATACACACATATAGCTAATATATAAGGTATATATAATATTGATATATAATAGATTTTTAAAAATAGAGTATATAAATGTAAAATCACCACTTTATAAACGACCTTCATGCACAGATAAATTCAGACAAATCACGAAAATGGCAGAAAGCCTTAAATATCACCAACTCAATATTTCCATAAGAATAAATTGTTTTTAAAAAAGTTTTAATTTATTTTTTGGTTGTAATCCATTTTTCCATTTTCTTTCTTTCGGGCTTTCCCATCAGGGAATTCATTTTTATGGAATAAATGTTCTTAAATGAACTCGTATTCTTCATAAAAAACACATAAATTCACCTCGATGCAGTGATATAACCATTCATGTCCCGCCGCAGCCACACAGTCCTGAACAGGCCTGTGTGGAAACACATCGACTTGTTGAGGCAATTAGCGCTGATTGCGTCTGAATGCACCGTGCGCCTCGTCACAGTGCTGGACAAAGACGCAGTCAGTGTCAGTTAGCGTCACTTCATCATCAAGATGGGGCCCCTTCTGTCAGTCAGAGGCCCCCCCCCCCGCGCCGCCGCCTCAGCAGCAGCAGCAGCAGCAGCAGTGGGCCACACATGCTCTAATTGAAAAACGCTGCGGATCATAACCGTTAAAAACAATTTTTGCACACTTCATTAATTGACGTTAAAGACGGACTGTAACGGCAGCTGCTGCCTGCAAACAGAAAACACCGAAATCGCAGGCAGTAAAACATATTTTGAGCTGCTGTGCTGCTGATTACAGCGGAGGCCTCGAGGAGCCACAGTGTGTTGTTAGGATTTTGTGTATTCTAATCCAAATCTATTTTTCGTAAAGAAGATAATTAAAAAATATTATGTTTGTCTCGTAGATATTTAATTATAGTTTTTTTGGACTTTTTTCAATCCAAAATATATTTAAAATATAATATATTTTAATAAAAAAGTAGAACATAAACGCTTTTGTGGAGTTATCTAAATTTATCCAAATTCTTTTTATTTTGATTCATTAAATTGTTTTTTCTTCCCTAAAACAGAAACAAAATATTTAAAATGGCATTTGTATTGGTGTGTTTGTGGTTTGTGTTAAAACCTTTAAATCCTCTGTATTTCACGGTCTATTCACTGACGATTAAAACGATTCAAATCGTTTGTCTGCGCGCTTTTTTTTTGCAGCAGCAGCCACTTGTAGAAGGCAGTGTACGTTATTTCACTTAATAATGTTGGTAATTACGTTGGAGTTACTGGAAGAACTTGTTTCCTCCTTCTTTGCCTCCCCCTCCTCATCCTCCTCCCCCCTCCGTCTCCTCTGATTGGCCGCGCGGTGGCAGCGGGGACGGTGAAGTGCGTTGTCCTGGTGAACGTGGTCCGTGTGGCCCCGGCTCCGGGTATAAAAGCCTGTGGTCACACGCCACTGTGCCAAATGGGCTGTCACGTGCAGTTTGGAGTAAAACCAGTGGATTTGTAAGGTTTACTTTTGGCACTCGGAAACATTCTCGGTAAGAGTTTTATGACTTCTGTGACGCTTTTAAGCAGATTTAAATAACGAGTGCATTCTGGGAATTTTTATGACAAAAATCCATATTTCAGGGATGATTCTGAACAACAACAACGTCTAAATCTGAAATCGAAATACATTTAAATCTATTGTTGACATTTAAAAACAAAACGTTTAAAAAGGCGCAGACTTTTCGTACAATTCAACTTTACGCGTAAGACTGATCAAATTAACCCACCGGTTGTCTCCTCAGCGCACCGAGCTGGATCAGAAGGATGGATTCTGATACGAGCCGCGTTTCCAGCAGACCCTCTTCTCCCGAGGTCGACGACATCTTCCTGTCCACCCTGAAGAAATCCGTCCACGGCTTCTCTGGTGCAGTGTCCTCCACGCAGAGCGACTCTCCGTCTGAGACGCACAGTCTGCGCGGACTCTCCGTGGTGGACGGAGACTCTCTGGCCCTGCGCTTGGCCAAGAAGGACCGCAAACTAATGTCGGAGAACGAGGTGCAGGCGATCCGCCTCAAGATCAACAGCCGCGAGCGGAAAAGAATGCACGACCTGAACGTAGCCATGGACGGACTGCGGGAAGTCATGCCTTACGCACACGGACCCTCCGTGCGTAAACTCTCCAAAATCGCCACCCTGCTCCTGGCCAGAAACTACATCCTGATGCTGAGTAACTCTCTGGAGGAGATGAAGCGGCTGGTCAGTGAAATATACGGCACCAGCGGACACCACGGCGGCTTTCATCCGTCAGCCTGTGGGACTATGGCACACGCTGGCCCGGTGCCGGGTCATCCTGTGGCTTCGCACTCCTCACACCCGGCGGTCCATCACCCGCTGCTCCCGCCGGCCGCCGTCTCCACCGCCTCCTTGTCCGCTCCCAGTATCTCTGCTGTCACTTCTGTCAGACCTCACCACGGACTCCTCAAAGCTCCCACTGCGGGCGCGGCGCCCCTGGCCAGCAGTTTCCAGCACTGGGGCGTCGGCACCGGGATGCCGTGTCCGTGCAGCATGTGCCAGGTCCCACCGCCGCACGTGTCCAGCATGAGCAGCGTCACGATGCCACGGTTGTCCAGTGACTCCAAGTGACTCCGAACTCGCTGAGAACCAACGTTTTCTGGTTCTCTCAGACTTCTACTCATTATGCGTCTTTATTTATCTATGTGGTTGGACTGAAGACCAGTGCTTTGGTTTCCTCACTGGAACTTTGAGGTTATTCAACTAACTTAGTGTTTTCTGGTTATTAACCTCGGCCGTTGATGCCGACAAACTTCTGTCTTCTTCGCTTATTTAAAGTTCATATTTCCTCCACGAGGTGCTTCTCCTCCTTAAGGTCCCAAACTTGAATCAGTCCACAGCTATAGTGTAAATATGTAGATGGATGAATCTGTTAAAAATAGTGGATAAGATAATATTATATATTAGAGTGATGTTAAAGTGGTGGGACAAAGACTCTTCTCGCTCCTTCCATGTTGCACCTGCTTTATTCTAATTCAATGTCTTTTCTCCTTATTTTCTGCCCAGGGGGTTGCCAGTCACTGCCCACCCAATGGCCACTGCTTTTTTTTTAAATAAGAAAATTATATTTATTTACTTGTTTCGCAGCAGCAATTTGAGTTGAAGCTCTCATTATGTCGTTGGGGTTTGAAATGTAAAATAAAGATGAATGATTGACAAAAGAAAAATACGGCTTTGGTTTGTGTTGATTTATTATTTATTATGGTTTCTGTGGATTTTACAAAATGATTGTCATGTTTGTGGAATTTGTTTTGTACAAAAACCGTGTGAAATTATTTCGTGGGCAATACAGTGTAAAATACATTTATATTTAGATACTTTATATATTATCTTTATTATCTTATTTTTCCTTAACATAATAATAATGATAATAATAATAATAAATAAAAATAGTAATAATAATTACAGTAAATTTTATATAACTTGCTGGGAACAATTTATAAAATAGACAGGTCGTTTTAGCTCATTTATATATTTGAAAAATAATAATTGTCTTGAAATGATATCAATGCTAACAAAAAACAACCAATCTTTTGATCCCAGAATGTGTTTAATTCCTCATGTTTCATGGCTGAAACTAGTTGTAATACATTTAGTTGTATTAGAAACATCTTCAGTTACTCAAAGCCTAACTTTCAGCAGTTAGATTTTTTTGTGTGTGTGTCTACGTCTGACCTCTCCTTTAGTCCTGGAAATATTTACATTTTACACTATTTCAAGTCTCATTTTGCTGGATATGATCAAACAAGCATCTGTGAAAAACAAATGTCCT